TATGTCCCCACAGTCCCGGCCCGGGCTAACTCTGTGCTCTCGTTGCAGTGGAAGAGCAGGTGGCTGGTGCTGCGCAAGCCCTCGCCCGTGGCAGGTAAGGGCGGCGCGCGGGCCCGGGGTGGGGTCGTGGGGCCGGTCCTGACTCGACAGCCGTGAAGGAGTCGGGCTGGAAGCGCCGCCCGGCCCCCCAGCCCGCAGGGGACCCGGGGAGCCACCTCCTGCCTCTGGGACCCGGTGTCAGTACGGCCCCCTGATGGAGAAACCAGGGGGCATCTGTGCTCACCCCTCATACGGCCATCGGCGCGGCCTTGGCCCTGGCCCCCACCCCTGGCAGCGTCGCCCGTCCCCCTGTTGTCGCTACAGGCTCCTGGAGACAGGGTCAGGCCCTGTGACAGAAACCCCCCAGCCCTGACACCTCTCACCGGGGGGTGGGGGGGAATCTGTCCTGACCCCTAATACAGCCTCGGCGCTGGCCCTGTCCCCCTGGCAATGTTGCCCCTGTTGTCACTGCAGGCTCCCGGAGAGAGGGTCAGGCCCGGTACAGAAACTCCCCCAGCCCCAACACTTCTCACCAGGGAGGGAAATCCTGTCCTGACCCCGAATACAGCCATCAGTGTGGCCTCAGCCCTGGCCCTGACCCCCTGGCGGTGCCCCCATGGGAAGCTGTCCGCAGAGTTGGCAAAAAGTCGGCACTTGTTAAGTCCAAAGCTTGTGACAGGCGCCTGGCTGCTCTAATGCTCCCCCTCGGCCACAGGGCTTCTCCCCCTGCTTGCAATAGATGTGGAGGCTGAGGTCGGGTGCAGCTCAACGCGGGTGGGGGGGATGGACATTGGATATGACATTAACAAAAATCCACATGGCAGTTACAAAGATATGTGTCTTATATCACTCGCTGTGAACCGACTTCCAAATACCAGTGTTTTCTTGCTTAAAACTTAAGTTTCAAAGCAACTGTTATTTTTTTAGTTTATGCCAAAATGGCATTTTAGTCTATTTTTTTTTGTTTGTAAAGCCTGGCCTTTTAAGTGGCATGGTTTTTTTTGAATCCACACATAGTAGTAGTTGGACCCGGGGTAGTATTTAATCAACATATTGACATTAAATATCACGTCAGTTCAGGTTTTAAAAAGACCAAAGTAAAATGCTGTAGGTTAAACTGAAACAAACATTTTCCTTTCCATGTTTCCTGGATAGAAATTTGAAATTTTTCCTGAGAAATTATATTTTCCTATGAGGGATTGAAGTTTTGACAACACAGCCAAAGTTTTCCTGTGGGGAAATGTTGCACAGTAAATTACTTTCAGCTCTAATCCTGGTTTTATCTCCTATGTATATGTTTTGTGAGTCTGCTTTACCTAAAAATGGATGTTAGAATCGTGATTAACTACTTCTATGTTCGGATGTAGAGTTTTATTTCTCTGTTACTTTGGTTTAGGATTAATTTTGCACAATTGGAAGTGTTAAGTATTCAGTATCCTCAGTGCCTCTGCTAATCAAGTCTATGGTTTATAAAAACAGGAGTTCCTAACATTGATATTTCATCTGCATCCCAACTTCTTGAACCCAAATTTGAAACCTTGATTCTTCCAAACCCTGCATATTGTTACTCTGTGCAACTTATTCTACTTTCAAATGGAATTTATTAGAGCAAAATTGAGCTTTTTTGTCTAAAGTCAGCGTGCTGTTTCTTTAACTGTCTTAGGGCTATGCAATGTGGATCTAAAAAAGCACCCTTAAACTTTGTATTTGCAGCTGTTTCTGGTAACAGGTGCAATACTGCAATCTAGCATGTCTGCAAAGTTTCCCTTTTAATTAACGTACAGTGCATTTTTCAGTTGTTTTTCACCTCTTTGGAGGGGTGCCCGTGCTTTGCCCAAATGTGAGCCATAATGGCAGCTTGCCAGGCCTCAGAGTGCCCCACCTAACATTCATAAAATGGAACACGGGCAGCTGCCTGGTCTGTAGCCTGGGACTAGGTGTGAGCAATGGAAGTTACAGGGGAAAAGCCTTGGCTTGAGCTTTTTCCATTTATTTCCCTCAGCACGGAGTATAACAGGGTGAGAAGGGGAGCTGCAACCTGTGTGGAACTGGTGTCTTTGCTGAATCAAAGAAGGATGCAACCCGTGGTGCTTTTCCTTGTTGAGCTGGATATCTGTGAAAAGCTCGCCTCCTGCGCACCCCTCGTGCCGTGATAGTTTCATCGCTTTACCTAGATATGAAGCAATAAAATAACTTTAGGAATGGGTTAAAAAAATGGTGACTGCGACTGAATAGAAAACAAATAAAGGTGCACAGTACACAATGATTATGCAGCAGTATCCCCTGCAGAATATTTTACAAGGCGACCTGAGCTGAGACCAACAGCCTTTCTGGCAATATAGTCCATTCACCATTTAATAGTTGAGTAATCTGGTAGCTACTATAAGAAGTTCATTTAGGTTCGCTGCCTTTCGAAGGAAGAGGATTTGACAATACTGCTAACTCTAGCCTTCCTGAAGTAAAAGCTTACATTACAGTAATGCCAATTGGAAACATTCAAAAATCACAAGTCAAGCCCCTCAAATTATAAGGTTGTCTCACAAATCATTAGATTTTGAAAGCAAATGACCAATTTGGAGGTCTTTTTAATTGCCTTCTTATTTCTGAGCCTGTAAGTTAGACTTGAGATATATTTTCAAGCTTTCTTCATATACACAGGGGCTAGAAATGTACCTTAAAAAGGTGAGCTCAGACTGCAACCATGCAGTTGCCAAAAGCATTAACTGTTGAAGCTGAGTCCTGAGAGTTATAGGCTGTTCTGCTCCATGTTTTCTGACAATGCTGCTTCTTTCAGATTGCTTACTCATGTTGGTGTACAAGGATAAATCTGAGAGAGTGAAAGGGCATAAGGAGAGGAGTAGTGTGACCTTGGAGGACATCTGTGGCCTGGATCCTGGGCTTTCCTATGAGGGCTTGAATCACACACTTGCCATCATCTGTCTGTCTCAAGTTGTGATGCTGGGATTTGAAAATAAGGAAACTATGTATGCATGGGATGTCCGGATCCGCTACAGTTTGGGAGAAGGTAAACTTTGTCTTGTCCTACTTTTTTTCCCCTCTTGGAAAAATCAAACCAAATCAGAGCTGAAGTACAAAAATCTGGGTACAGTTCAGGAGAAGATCATTGCTGGTCCCAGAGTAGAAAGACCTTTTCCACAAGATCAGATTAGGTGCCATGGGCAGTAGGTCATATGTGTGATACTGTGTACGAGGAGTGTATCACTAGTAGGTACTTATTGGTACTGGCGGTTGGGTTGTACTGTTACATTTGGCTCAGGTAGTGAAAGCATGGGTTAAAAGGCCAGAGTTTTAGTCCTACCCTTTCAAGTAGCTGTGAGAGTTATAAATTACTCGTGTCAATAGTTTTTGGATTTATGAGTCCATGGGCTCAGAGAGGACAAGAACTCTGAAAGGCAGAACCATGATTAGAACTTGGGAGTGGCTAAATTAGGTACACTTGATCTTTCCTTGTGATAAGGGGACAGACTAGTTGAATTCTTGAGGTCCCTTTTATCCCTGGTTTCTAAGGTTTTAGCTTCCAGTTCCCTGTCCAGTCTGTAGAATGTGCTGCTCTGGCAACATCTGCTCTTGACTCCATATAATAGCAAAATCCCACAGAAAAGATACCATTCTTGGAAATACCTTTTCCTCTTAACTTCTAGGTGTCCTTCATTTTCTGTTCTGTGATTCTAACTTGTGTTGTAGTGACCAAAAAGTAGTAATAATGTTCTCAGAGAGATAATCCAGAGTAATTGGATTTTAGTATATTGCAGAGTTTAGGGTGACAGACATTTATTATTGCTGATGATCATGATGATAGTAATCTATTTGTATATAATGTATCTGTTAATGGTAATGGGCTTTTGCTATACACAGTATAAATAGAAATGCAGCCCTTTCCTGAGAAGCTTTGAGGATAGGTGAAAATAAGATTTAAGCACAATAAGAGACCTTTAGGAAAGTGCAAAGTCAGCTGAGTTTGGTAGGTTTCTTGATCTGACTCTACTGCAGTGATTTTCAGTCAGGGTGCTGTAGTATCTTGGGGTGCCATGAGATCCTTTTAGGGGTGCTGTGGGATGCTATGCAATATTAGCATTGTTAGGTGAGCAAACATGATTCACAAGTTGTACCCAGGGATTTCAAATAGGAATCAGTAGGTTCAAAACATTCTGCCCTGTTTTGGTCCTTCTCAGTTCTGTGCAACAGAAGAATTGCACTATTATTTTTCTGTTATTAAAAAACGAGTGAAAAATAAGTGCTGGCATTTTCTGTGGGGTATCTTAACTCTAAAAGCTTAACAACCACTGTTTTAGCTGATATAAAAGAGAAAAAGATACTGGAAGGTGGGGAAAATGAGACGGGATAGAGGCAATTCACACTAAGTCTTGGCAGTCTTCTTGAAGTTAGGGAGATTCTGGGCTGAGAGGGAAGAAGAACGAAGGTCAAGGGCTTGAGGAGGCAGTTACAGTATATTGGGAGGTAGATATTGTATGTGATTTAGGGATGAGAAGTGGCACTATTTTGCAAGAATGGAGGTGGGCAGTAAATTTAAAATAGAGATAGCTGGTTTTCTGTAGCAGGAGCCGGTACAACATGGTTCATAGGCTAGATAGTAGAGATGGGGAAGAGTCAAGCGTAGCGGAGACAGTAGAATTAAGGAAATCAGTTATAAATTGGAGGAGGCTGAGAGATGAGAATGTGAGCAACAGGACAGAGATAATGGGACCTCGATGGACTGGAGCTCATAGGATGAGCTGAGGTTAGAGAATAAATTTGTAGAATTAAGAGAAATTGGGAATCCTGAAGGGAGTGCACTAAGTAACAGAGCAAGTTCGATGGTTCTGTGCAGAGTAGGAGTGAAGCCTTGGGAAACCCGTTGAAAATATTACAGTTCAACATGGAAACTTCTGCTTTCTATGGTTAAATTGTACTTGGGCCTGTACCAAAAAGTTTGACTCCAGGTCTGAAATTCTCTCAGATTTGGAGGTGTACAGATCCAGGGTTGTTGGCATAGGGGTGGAACGCTAGTTGCTGATCTTTGGTTTATGCAGTTGTGGCATGACCTGTTAGTGGCTTACATCATTTACACCATATTTGGTAGAAGAATAGATCTCCCAAACTTAAAGTCTTGTAGCTTACTAGTAAAATACCTCCCAGTACAACTCCTCCGATCAGTGTTCAAAGATTTAAGGGTTGAGCAAGGGATTGCCTGTAATAAGGATTTAATTAAGGATTTGTTGTTTTGGGAGCATTAGTAGATTTTTATTGAAAAGTGGGGTGAACAATTGCATATCAGAGATAGAGCATCACATGAATATAGACTTGCTCCCCAGCATTATTAGAGTCAGGGCTGTAAGAAGAGCTGTAGCGAGATCTATCCCTGGCCTTTCATGCATTTCTCTTGTATGACTTCGTGGCTAATTCTGATAGAACCTTAGAAAGTTACCAAATGCAGATCATGGGTGAGGAATTGACTTGTAGCTAGAGGGTCGTTTGTCTAAGAATACAGCAGAGCTTTTGGATGAGAAGCAAGAGTCAGGCCTAGTATAAGCTCATGGCATTTGACAGATGAGAAAACCAAGTTGAGAAGAAGGAAAGAATTTTCATAAGAAGGAGAGTTAGCAGAGTTAAAGAAAGTAAGTGCCATATTTGTATCTGAACAGAGTGCTAAGGAACTGAGTAGTTTTTGTAGTTCTTGAGTACAAGTGAAGACTTGAGAGATATGCTGAAATGTTAGAGTTCAGGTAGAGAAAATGCTACTTTTTATGCTTACACTGTAGCTGGCCCTGCACCAAGAATTTGTCTTTAATTAGATGTACTTCTGAACTGTGACTCAGTGCTGGGCAGTATTGCTTGTATAGCTAAGTTGGACTAGTCCAGGGGTTGGTAATATTTTTGGGCCAAGTGCCAAAAATCCTGCACCTTGGACTTTAAAGATGTTGGTGCACCAGGGACGGATGGCAGGGGAACTGCAACAGGCCCAATGCTTGCCAGGGAAGGGGCTGTCTCTGCCCTTTCCCTGCTGTGCTCCCTGAAGTGCCTGTGCGGCCCCTGCCAGCAATGAGCCGGGCCAGGGCTCTGGACCCCTGCCAACTCTGAGCAGCCCAGACCCTGGGCAGGCCCTTGCTGCCCATCATGGAGCCTGGGCTGCTCACAGCAGGCAGCTGCAAGTGGCTGCACCAGGGTCCAGAGCCCTGGCCCAGCTCATTGCTAGCAGTGGCTGCATATGCGCCTTGGGGAGCAGGGTGAGGAAGGGGCCAGGGGAAGCACAACAAATCCCAACTAACCTGGAGCTTCCAGCCGCCCACTTTTGCCCCTCGCAGCCTGAAGTGCCATTTCACTGACCTGGGTGCAGCTCCCAGACTGTGCATGTGGCGAGCACAAGTCCTGAGGCGTGGAGATGGTACAGCCCTGAGGCCACCCAGGTGGGCTGTCAAGGGGGGCCAGTCTTTCTGCCAGGGCTGCAGCTGGTAGGGGGCAGCACCTGCAGCTGCCTCTGCCTTCTGCCGTGGGGGGATCCTGGGCTGCACTGCTCGTGCCCTGTCTTGCTCACCGGTGCTGCAGCCCCATGAGCCCCAATGTGATGCTGTGTAGCTCCATGTAACATGCTGCACTCCTTGCAGGCACCTAGCTTTTTCAGCTCCATGTTGCCTGCATCTGCATGTGCTTCTGCACAGCCCCTTCCCGGCTGTGTGCGCCAATGTGCATGCATAGCTACCACTACCAAGGAGCCTGGCCAGGGCGCCAGAACCCTGTGCAGCTGTTTGCATCCTTCTGGCTGCCTGCCACAGCCAGCCTGGGTTCTGGGTAGCTGCATTAGGTAGCCAGGAGGCTGCAAACAGCTGCACTGGGCTCTAGAGCCCCAGTCAAGCTCCGTGGTGGTGGTAGCTGCACGTGTGCCTTGGGGTGCACAGCTAGACAGGGGTCAGGGTTGTGCTGCCCCAGTCCCCTTCCCAGCTCTGTGCCCTGAGGTGCACATGCAGCTGCTGCCACCACAGAGCCCAGCACAACTGTTTGTAGCCTCCCAGCTGCCTGCCACAGCCAGCCCAGGCTCTGGGCAGCTGCTGCCTGCTGGGGAGCCCAGGCTACTTGCAGCAGGGCTGGCAGCCTCCTGGCCACCTGCTGCGAGCAGCCCAGGCTCCATGTCTGGTAGCTGCCCACAACCCAGGCCGGCTGTGGCATGCCGAGCATAATGGCCTCATGTGCCATTCTCTGGCAGGTGTGCCGGGGGTTGCCAACTCGTGGACTAGTCCCTGAGCAACTAATTCAAGGCTGCCATTTCAGAACTATCTGGGCATCAACAAAAACCATAGGGAAAAAAGTGCTCTGAGTTCTTTATTGGATAATGATGGATCTAAATGACCTAGTTGCTATGGCTTGATCTATACTAGAGATGCTCACACTCTGGCCTGTGGGCCAAGTGCAGCCCATGGACCCATGGCATCTGGTCTGTGGGGCTCTCTATGGGGTAGGAAATTTGGTGGCATGGGAGCGGTGGCAAGCTATACTGCCATCCTCCTTTGCTGTCAAATTCCCAAGCACTATGGGACTGGGCCATATCCCCTTCCCCTGTAGGGCCTGATTGGGGCTGGGCCACTCCCCAACCCCCCACATGCCCGGATCAGACCCTGTCTTGCTACCTTAAGCACTAGATTGGGCCCTCTGCCTGGATCCGCCCCACTTAACTGAGCACCTTCCATCTGGTCCAACAGCAAAAAAGACTGGGCACAACTGGTTTATATAGAAGAAGTAAATGCAAAGATTTTTGTTATGACAGCCTTGCCGACTTCTGTTTGCTCCAGTAATTAACCATTTTTTTCTGTGTTTTTTTCCCTTAATAGTTCACAGGTTTCATGTTTCTGTAGCCCCTGGAACTAAACTGGAGAGTGGACCTGCTACCCTGCACTTCTGCAATGACATTCTAGTCCTTGTAAAAGACGTTCCACCCACAGTCATGGGACAGTGGAAACTCTCAGACCTGCGCCGATATGGAGCTGTTCCTAATGGATTCATCTTTGAAGGGGGCACCAGGTGTGGCTTTTGTAAGTACATTTTCTTTACTTAAAAGTTCCAGGCTTTTTATTAATCTGTTTTACAGATAGATAAATGCTGGTCTGGTCAGCGTGTCTGTCATGGACCTGATCCTGAAGACTTGTTCCATGTAAGCAGTCCTATTGATTTCAGTGAGACTTTTGTGAGTCAGATCCTGGAGGCTTTGGCACTGTTACTGAGACAAAAACAGTATTGCTGAGGTGCATGCTGTGTGAACATTGCCGGATGCCTTTTTGGAAGATCTGCTTCAGTCTGACATGAGTTATGGGTTGCTCTAAATGGGTTCTATGGGAGGTCAGAACAGATGATTTGGTGGTTTCTTTTGGCCTTAACACAGAAGGATGATTAAACTATTTTCAGTTGTGCTGTGGAAGAAGAGAATTGTGTGGAAACCAAGAAGATGTAATAAGAATCAAGGCTCTGTTGCGTAAGGATCTGTGCAAACACTCACAATATATATTGTATTTTCTCACATATAATCTGCGCTTTTTCCTGAAAACTGGCTAGGGATAATAGGGGTGTATATTATATACAAGGAAAAGGGATGTATAGGGTCTGGAAATATGGCAGAGTGGTGGGGAAGTGGAGCAGTGGCAATGTCACCAGATGTCTGGACCCATGGGGAGTTTCCATCTCCAACTGCATACCAAATTGGGTTGGTATGCAGCTGGACACAGTGCACCGAGTCTTACACGGCCCTGGGCCTGGTGTGCAAGGTGTACCTTGCGTAGAGGCTCTGGAGCCACATACTGGGTCAGACCCAGTGTGTCAAGTCTGGGACTGCATGCTGGCTCTGGAGTCACATGCTAGGTCTGACTCTGTATGCTGGCTCCGGGTCTGTGCGCTGAGCCTGGAACCATGCACCAGGGCAAACTGGGAGTTACCCCAGTGCACAGTTCCAGTTTGGCATGCAGCCCCAGAGGCAGCACATGGAGTCAGATCCCACACGTAGCTCAAGAGCCAGTGTGCATGGTCCCAGGCAGCGCATGGGGTTGGAGCTCCAGAGCCAGCATGCAGGGTTGGATTCAGCACAAAGCCCTGGATCTGGTGTGTTAGGTTAGTCTGTGGGCCCAGCCACCATGCAGGGCTGGCAGCAGCCTCAGGAGCAGGCTTGGCTCCCTTGCTGCTGCCACTCACCTTGATCAAAGATATTATATTTCTTCACGCTCACCTTTCTTATTGAGGTGGTCCTATAATCAAGGGTGTGCTATATATGAAAAAATATAGTACCCAGAAATAATTTACCATGTGATGAAAAGGAGTGGAACTTTACTGTGTGTTCACTGCTTTCCTTGCATGCTCTTTCCTTATAGTAAGTGGAAATCAGACTGCAGTAACTTTGCTCTCAGTGAAAGATGGTTAGTTATTGTGGCATGATTTCCATTTACTATGGAGTAAAAGCATGCAGAGCAGTTGACTGGGGCAAAGGCCATCCCCCTTTTGTTCAGCAGTAAGTTGACAGTGTGGCCATACCCTAAGATATACCCTGAGATACAATTGCTGCTGTAAAGAGTTTTCAGTCTAATCTGAGATGAGACAAAGTGAGTGCATGAAACCAAAGAAGAAAATAGGAAGTGACTACATTTTAATGGGAGTAAGGTTTTACGGTTGCATTCTTTACGGTTTTTTTTTTTTACTACAATTGATTGTTTCTAAGAGTTTCAGAAGTTCTCTCTTGAGACGAGGCTCAGCGTATCCTTATTTTAGTAGATGAATTTGTAATATAAATTTGTCCTATTAAACCTAGCAATTGATAGAAAGTGAGGCTGTGAAGGGGTAGGCAGGGGGCAGAGGTGGCAAGGAGACAGCATAAGCAGAGGGCAAGCTGCTTGACCTTCCCATATCACCTGATTCCCCACTGCTTATCTGCCCTGCAGTGGTGGGAGGGATGAATTAAAGACAACCCTTCAATAATTTGATTCTATGTATAGAATATTACAACAAATTTGTAGATTTTCCATATATTAAATCTAATCACTGGGTGGGGGGAAGGGGGGACATCTTAAATTCAGGGTCATCTTACAGTCGAGTAAATGTAAGATTAAATCCAGCATTGATTTGCATCATCATATGTTTCTTATAGGAGAAAGTGTAACTTTTGCTGTTTGAATATTCATGTAGTACTGGGGCTCTTTGTAAGATAAGAACTGTTGTGAAAAGAACTGTGTAAACTCTTGGTAAAATGTACAAGTAGTTCAATGATGCTGTGCCTTCAGTATTTTCTATAGATTTTTATGCAGGCACTAGAAGGGCAGATATTTATTTTTCTTCCTTATTAATGGGGGCTTTAAATGTTGGATTGATCAAATTCTTGGGTTTTCAGAAGAGGGGAGAGGAGAGGCTTTTGGGAAGGGGAAGCAGAAGCTGGGGGGAAGTGGGAGAGCAGAGGCTGGTGAGGGAGTTCAGGAAAACTGGTTGTGTTTCAGAGAAACCTTACTGAGGGCACAGGAACAAACCATCCTGATGTACAGAAGAATAGCAAATATGGCAAGCCCTCAGTGATGAAAGAACAGGTTGGGGACTGTTTAGAAAAGCTGGATGTGTACAAGTCCATGGGGCTGCATGCAATATACCTGAGGGTGCTGAGGGAGTTGGCCAATATAATTGCAGAGCCACCTGATCTTGAAAACTTGTGTGGTGATTGGGGGAGGTCTTGGATGATTGGAAAAAGGGCAAATATAGTGCCCATCTTTAAGAAAGGGAAAAAGGAGGATCCAAGGAACTACAGATTAGTCAGCTTCACCTCAGTTCCTGGACAAATCATGGAGCAGATCCTCAAAGAATCCATTTCTAAGCACTTGGAGAAGAAGGTCCATGGGGTTAGATGCAATACACCTGATGGTGCTGAGGGCATTGGCCAATATGATTGCAGAGTAGATTCAACAAGGGCAAGTCATGCCTGACCAACCTGATTGTCTTCTATGACGAGATGTCAGGTTCTGTGGGTGTAGAGAAAGCAGTGGACGTGATACACTTTGACTTTAGCAAGGCTTTTGATACTGTCTCCCACAGCATTCTTGCAAGCAAGCTGAGGAAGTTTGGGTTGGATGAATGGACTGTAAGGTGAACAGAAAGCTGGCTGGATTGTGGGTCGTAATCAATGGCTCAATGTCTAGTTGGCAGCCACTATCAAGTGGAGTGTCCCAGGGGTCAGTCCTGGGGCTGGTTTTATTCAATATCTTTATTAATGATTGGGAATATGGGATTGATTGCACCCTCAGCTAGTTTGCAGATGACTCCAAGCTGGGGGTAGATAGACCAGCGGGTAGGGCTAGGATTCAGAATGACCTAGACAAATTGGAGGATTGGGCCAAAAGAAATCTCATGATGTTTAATAAGGACAAGTGCAAAGTCCTGCGCTTAGGATGGGACAATCCTATGCACCAGTATAGATTGGAGGCTGACTGGCTGGACAGCAGCTCTGCAGAAAAGGACCTGGAGGTTACAGTGGACAGTAAGCTGGATATGAGTCAGCAGTGTGCCCTTGTTGTTAAGAAGGCTAACGGCATACAGGGCTGCATTGGTAGGAGCATTGCCAGCAGATTGAAGGAAGTAATTATTCCCCTCTATTCAGCAGTGGGGAGGCCACATCTGTGGTACTTTGTCCAGTTTTGGGCCCCCCCACAATAGGAGGGATGTGGACAAGTTGGAGAGAGTCCAGTGGAAGGCAACAAAAATGGTTAGGGGGCTGGGGCACATGACTTAGGAGGAGAGGTTGAGGGAACTGCATTTATATAGTCTGCGGAAGAGAAGACTGAGAGGAAATTTGATAGCAGCCTTTAACTACCTGAAAGGTGGTTCCAAAGAAGATGGAGCTGGACTCTTCTCAGTGGTGGCAGATGACAGAACAAGGAGCAATGGTCTGGTCTCAACTTGCAGCAAGGGAGGTTTAGGTTGGATATTAGGAAAAACTTTCTCACTAGGAGGGTGGTGAAGCCCTGAAACAGGTTTCCTAGAGAGGTGGTGGAATCTCCATCCTTTAAGCTTTTTAAGGCCTGGCTCAACGAAGCCTTTGCTGGGATGATCTAGTTGGGGATTGTCCTGTTTCGAGCAGGGGGTAGGACTAGATGACCTACTGAGGTCCCTTCCAATCCGCATTTTCTATGATTCTAATATTTGATGTTAAACATCAAGCTATTCCAAAGTAGGGAAAGAACAAGAAGAGCAAGGGCATCTTTACACGTGCTCCAGGGGGGAGGTGGGTGCTTTAATTGGAGTGGCTCTTGGGAGCTGCTGTAATTAAAATGCCTACAGCATCTCGTGTATTCAGCATCCCATGCTGTAAAATGGTGGCAGGGGTGCTTTAATTAAAGCTTGTTCAATGACCTTTAGTTGAAGTGCCCCCTGCCCCATTTTGAAGGAAGTATACATGAACTAAGTACATATTAAGGAAGTATACATAAACATAGAATAGTGGTACAGGGAAAAGTCATGAAAGCAAAACCAAAAAAATGATTTACAGTGGACAGGAGATGTTAGAGATAACATGAAGGGGTTTCTTAGAAAAGAAAGACCAGGAAAATGATAGATGCACTGCTCAGCAGAGAAGGTGAGATATTAAGCAAGATACAAAGAAGATGGAGCTGGTCATGTACTTAGTTGTTTCAGTTACACAAAGAAAATAAATTATATTGAACTTCCTTAGCAAAATAATATAAATGAAGAAGGAGTTCAAGTCATGATAACTAACGTGTGCACCAGGGACATTTTGACAAAATTGGCTGAATTTAAGTCAGCAGGGCCTTCTGGAATCCCTCCCCCTGTCTGGGAGCTGAATGTACTAAGTGAAGAAATCTTTAAGCCACTGGCAATACATGCAGTCATGGGTGACAGACAAGGCTAACAGAGTAACGATCTTTAAAAAGAAGGGGAAAAGAATTACCTGGGAAATTATAAACCAGTTGGCTTGACTTCAGTATTTAGGGATTGCTAAAGGAAATGATAAAATATTCAATTTTTACATATGTGGAGGATGAACAGGTGATCTCTG